CCTTCACCACCAGCACGAGCTGTTCTTCCCACACGATGAATATAATCACGTGGATCATCTGGTGGATCATATTGAATGATCCAGTCTACAGCTGGAATGTCTAATCCACGAGCAGCAACATCTGTGCAAAGAAGAACACCTTGCCCTGCATTCATGAATTCAAAAAAGGTAGTTGTCCGTTTTGTTTGTTTTTGTTTACCCTAATAAATAAATAAATATTAATTTATGTATTTTTGTGGTTGATTTAAAATAAAAGGAAAAAAACTTACATGTAAATCTAAAACTGGTACATCAATATAATTTAACAATTCAGCATGATACTTTACTGATTTACAACTTGAGAAAAAAACTATAATCTTTTTTTTCAAGTTTCTTTTTAGAAAAGTAAATAACAACAAGAATCTTTTGTCACTATCACAAACAACATAGCCTTGAACAAGTCCGTCCACTGTAGAAGTTTCTTTTTTTCCATCTACATTTATATATATTGGCCCATCTCTTAATGATATCCTTGCAAGATCTTCTACTTTTGTTGTTTGTGTAGCTGAAAATAACATGGATTGTCGGTTTTCTAAATATAAAAAATATAAATTAAGGTATTTATTGCCATTATTTTTTTTTTTTAATATTCAAATGTCTAATTTTGTCTAAATATAATAACATACCTCTGGGAAGAATTTTAATTATTTGTTTCATTTCATCTTCAAAACCAACTTCTAGAATACGATCAGCTTCATCAATAATCAGAGCTTTAAGATTCTTGTATAAAAACCCCTTGGTATTCTTTGATAGATTGATTAATTAAATATATGATGTTTGATAAAAAAAAATTTATTATAGAAAACAAATAAAATTAAAATGCGATGATAACCTGAAGATGATCTAATAATCTTCCCGGTGTTGAAATTAATAAATTTACGCCTTTAGCCAATTTTTGAGCTTCAGCTTGTCTATTTGCTCCACCCATAACAATTCCATAAGTTTGACTGTGATGTTTGGTTAACTCTTTTGCTACACCAAGAATTTGAAGTGCTAATTCTCTTGTCGGTGAAATAATAATCACACCAGTTCCTATAAAATTATAAAATTGGTAAAAAAAAATTTCCTTTTGTTTAAAAAAAAAAAAAACAAAACAAAATCTAAATTTATACCATTTCTTGATTTGAATTTTAATTTATGCAATAATTCAACAGCTGGTATTAAGAAGGCCAATGTCTTTCCCGATCCAGTTTTTGCTGCACCTAATACATCTTGACCTGCCATTAACGGTGGTATAGTTCTAGCTTGTACTTCTGTCATTTTTGTAAAACCCATTTCTTGAATTGCTTTTTTTGTTGGCTCAGAAATGTCCAACGATTCAAAATCATGAGCGATTTCTTGATCTTTTACACTTTCTATATCTTATAAATAATAACATAACAGCAACAAGATAAATAAGTTATAAACCCTATTCAAACAAATTTAAATTTTGACATTTCAGTCTAACCATTGTATTTAATTTCAGGAACTTCGTTTTTACTATCGATTATATTCGATTCATTGAATTCATCATCATTATCTGTCTCATCAGAATCATCGTCTTTAATTTTTTGTCTCTTTTTATTATTATTATCATTTTCCTCATGTCTTTCATGGATTTTTTTTGAACGCTTAGTCATTTGTAAAAATTTATAATATCAATATCGTGCAAGAAAAAATTTTTTTATTTTTGGTTTACATAAAATGATCTACACACATCTGACAATCTTTTAAGAGTTTACAAGAAATCTTTACAGTATAATTTTAATAATGGTAATAATAATGGTAATGATTAATTAAATGTTGTTTTAAATAAAATATTTATATGCTTTCTGATTTAACTTACGTTGGTCTAGTCTGGATTAAAAGTTGTTGTTTCTATTTATCAATTATTTTAAAAAAAAAAAATTTTTTTAACGCGGGAAGAAAATTAATTAATTAAAATCTAGAAAAGTAGATCAAACTCACCAAAGCCAATAGATGATTACGTTGGTCTGGTGGCAACATATCAATTTGTGCTTGAGTTAGATTTAGGACTTGTAATAATAACTATTGTATTAAATAATGTACATGTAAATGTATAAATAATACCGTATATATTTATATGCACATTTATAACAGATAAATATATATAATAAATAAATAATAACTGGGCTTATATTTTATACTAACAGATTTTTGAGCTTCCTGCATTTGCAAATGATCTTTATTGAAAAAGAAGGTAAGTGATTAAACATTACAAATATCTTTGTCATTCATCAATCGCACCGAAAATATATATAAATAGCTTACTCATATTTCCTGCTGTTAAATTAGCAACAGCCTGTGAATGATTAACCATTCCAGCATTTATTGCCGGCATACTGATAGCTTGTTGCATTGGGGGCAGATGCATTCGCGGTTGTTGAATAGGCGAAGATTGCCGAATAGGTGAAGGCTGTTGCATATGTGATTGTTGAGGAATTGGAGCGAACGAGATCGATTGATGTTGATGAGGAATTGATGGTGATGCAATCTTGGGAATAGACTGAGGACCATAATTGGATAGGACTGATTGAGGCATGGGTTGACCTTGTGAAGCGCTTTGATGTATTATACTCTAAAATTAACATAATGATTAGTAATTATTTCGATAAACTCCATCTATTATTATTATTATTATTATTAACAACATACTGCCAATATATTTTGATCGACAATATTCTGATCTAACATTATCAAAAATAATGCATAGCAAAGTTGAGGATTTTGTGACAATAACGAACGAGCTTGATTTGCATCAGTTTGTATATACAACTAATGAACGATGTTTGTGAAAAAAAAATTGATTAAGTGAATTTATATTGAAAAAGCTTCTCAATGGAAAAAGGAATGGTTTGAACCTTCATGGTGGATAATATCTCGAGGAGTTGAGCTTTACTCATTGAATGTTTTATTGCTAGTGAAATGCTTTCAAGACTAGATTGCTGAGATGCACGTGTTTGATGAATGTTGGCATTAGGTCGGGATATCGGTGGTTGTTGTTGGTGACGGTGTTGATGTTGTTGGTAATGTTGTTGTAGTTGTTGATGTTGATGTTGTTGTTGTTGCAGTTGTTGATGTCTTTCTGAATTTGACCTATCATTTTGACGTGAGGAATTGTTTGCTGAATTGGAGGATGTAGTTGGCAAATCATTATCAGCATAATCGACTTTCAGTTGACGCCCTCCAATTTCAACGTTGTTTAAATTTCTTACTGCACTTTCTGCTGTCTCTGGGTCTTTTTCATTTTTATGATGTTGATGTTGAATTAGTCGGAAATCCTTTTTTTGAAAAGGAGTTACTTATTAGAACTGAATGTCCACCTACCGTAATATTCACAAAATCCATATCCACGCGGTCTTCCATTCTCTTTGTCAAAAACAAGACTTTTTTAAATTTTTTTAAACAATCGGTTTATTATCGATTAAAAAACCAAAACAAGCAAAATTATAATTTTAACGCGTAAAAAAAATAATCATTTGGCCTACCGAAAAGATACTATGGGCCCTACTTCTTTGAATACTTCGGTTATCTGTTCCTCTGTAAGATCATACGGTATATTTCCAACTTTGAGTCGAAACAAAAAATTACGTATTTAACAACTGTTGACGTAAAAGATTGGCTGACCAATGATTAATATTAACATATTTCAATATTTAATAAAAAATTACTTGCCAAAAATTACGCTGAGATTTCTTGTCGAGTTCATATTAAAATTTTTTTTTATATAGAAAATTAATATTTAAGAGATGATTATATGTTTTTTTAAAGATCCCGCCCGGCCAGTAAAAGATCTTCCCTATACCGCCGAGCTTGTCACATGGGCATTGACATTTCCTAATTTAGTCATTTAATAAGATTCACGAATTATATTTTTAGTTGTAGATTTCATTTCTAAACTTAGATATAACCAAGATGTCAGAACCAACAAAGGCCCAAATCGATGAGATATTTAAAAAACTAACAGCTCAAAGAGCAAATAAGGTAAAGAACAAAAAACGATTTAATTTTATAAAATTGGAATTATATAATTTATAAAATAAATAAATGAATATATATGTGTTGCATTTCATTAGATGTGCTTTGATTGCCAGGCCAATAGTCCATCCTGGTCAAGTGTTACATTTGGTATTTATCTTTGTTTAAATTGTTCTTCGGTACACAGAAATCTTGGTGTTCACATTAGTTTTGTAAGGTATTAAAGGAAAAATCATATATGTTATTTTAACTTGTTGAAACAATTATATCAACATCAATATTTATTTGTTAATTTAAATTTATTTGACATAGATCAATATCTTTAGATTCTTGGACATGGGATCAATTAAGAATTATGAAGATAGGTGGTAATACAGCTGCATCAGAATATTTTGCAAAGCATGGTAGTGGAGCTTCGTTCAAGAATAAAGATATAAATCTCAAGTATACTTCCAAAGTAGCATTAAAATATAAAGATGAATTAATCAAAAGAGCTAAAGAAGATGAACGAAAGTAATTATCATTTTTTGTTTTTTATTCAATAATTTTTTCCCAAAAAAAAAAAAATACCAGATTGCTTAATAAATATATATATATATATATACATAATCTAACTTTAAATTCTCCCGATAAAAAAAAAAAAAAAAAAAAGAAATTCTGAATTTACCATTGATAATAATCAGGAGGAGCTACAATCATCAACTTCAAAAAAAAATGAAGATTTATTTTTAATTCCTGAAAAAGAAAAAGTTGTTAAAGAAGAAAAGATAATTACTAGCGTCAAGTCAACCGTTGTACCTGCTGCCAAAGTATCCACAAATTCCAATGGAAGCAGCAGTAGTGGTAGCAGTAGTGTTGTAATAAAAACAACAACGTCCAGCCCACAAAAATCCAGTATCACTTCCAGAGGAAAAGGACCCAAGAAATCAAAAATGGGTTTAGGAGCAGTGAAGGTGGAGAAGATTGACATTGAACAGGCAGCACGAAAGGCTAAAGAAGAAGAGGAACTGGCAGCTCAGTTGGCCCAATCTTCAAATTATGAAGAGGAGATAAATTCAACTAAATCAGAAGATAAATGGTCTTATAGTTCTCGGCTAATGTATAACGATGAAGCTCAATCACCGACATCACAAAATTCCAGTAGACCAAGTGATGATATGGAAAGACTTGGAATGGGATTAACAAAGTTAGGGTTTGGAACTGTTTCAACTCAAAATAAAAAAAATGTCGAAGAATCCGTCACGCCTCGATATGTTGGTTTTGGCTCCTCAAGTTCTAATAATTACAATGAACAAAGTCAAGATGGTTGGTAATTGTAATTATTAGTGTGTTTAGTGTCGTATTGAGCATTTTATTTATTGTTTATTTACATATACACACACACATATATATATATACACAATATGCATATTTATTTAATTTATTTTTCAACTTGTAGATTACAATAAATCAACCGATGGTGATTATGCACGACAAAAATTTGGAAATCAAAAATCAATTTCCTCAGATCAATATTTTGGACGGAATCACTATGATCCAGAATCATTATCTGCTTCGTCTGATCGTCTAAAGTTGTTTGAGGGAGCGACGTCAATTTCTTCAAGCCAATATTTTGGACGAGAGGATGATGAAGAAAGGTCAAGCGAAAGTTTAGATTTAAATGGAATAGAAGTCAATGCTCGTGATTTTGCAAGAAGGTTCATTGGTCAGGCATCAACTGATTACGAGACGATAAAAACAGTTGTTGAAAGAGGCAGCGAAAAATTAAAAGATTACATTTCAGACATTCAGGTTGGAAAATTTCCCATTTAATTAATTTCATATAAAAAACATTAAAAAAAAATAATGACCATTGCTAATATATTATTTATGCATGATTATAGAGTCGCGTTAATTATTAATTCAACTTCCTGACAAATCAATCATTAAAAGTTCACTTATTTACTAACTTATTTTATAGGGTTTACGTTTATTTAATAATGAGTAATAAGTATTTATATTATCTAGATATGCATCTGGATATATTTATATTTTCACAAATTGTATTTTAACTTACAAATTCATAAATTCATAAAAATAAAAAAAAAAATAGAACTTTTTTCCAATAAAAAATATCCTACCGTACCATTACTTTAAAGCAATGACCACCAAGTTTACCCAAACTATTATCGCTATATTTATTAATAGTGCAGCGATTAAAACACGATATCTCTTATTTGAGATGTTGTGAGAACAATTAAATCTTAAAAGTAATTCTCATTACCAAAGCAAGGTTTATTATTTATTTAACACGAAATACTCCAAGTTCTGCGTGTGGAATAGGTTTATTAAGTAGTGATGAAAGTAAATTATTATTGATTTCTTGATAAAACAATAAATATATTTTTATTCGGAACGATCGATTAAACGATGCAGCAGAAAAATGCGTTTATTGAATCGCTGTTGCAAATTCAGGCACATGCTTTCCATTTAAAGTTAGTACAATGCATGGGAACGAATCATTCATCGACACTGGACTATGAAGTGAAGTAATAATCAATCAATCAATTAATTAATTGTAACGTCTGCATGCATCATTTGATAATAATGCAAGTAATAGCCATAAATTCCGATACGTTGGCCTTTCCGCAAACATTAATTTTAACTTTTCCAATTAAAATGAAATTGACTTTTTGGACGTAGTAATAATAGTAAATTGTAGGTAATAGCAACAGTAATTTCGGAATATATTTTAGAGGGAGTGTAAATAATGTGATTACTTATGTATTTCACATGTATGTATATTAATCTGGGGACCCTTCTGTTCATTATGTAAACAATGTATACATTTTTATTTAGGATATTGGAATTATTTTTATTCATTCACTTTTATAAATAATAAAACAAATAATGACTAGTAGTGACGCTAATAGTAGAAAACAACGCATAAAATGGGGCGAAGGTGCTACACTCGCCTTATTAGATTTTTTACGTGAAAACAAAGATGAGCTAAGTCAGTTGAAAAGTACACGGGGTGGATCTAAGCCGGACGCGGACTTGTGGAATAGAGCTTCAGATTATCTTTGCAACTTGAATCATAATGTTAACAATATTCAAGCTTTTACTAAATGGAAGAATCTTCTTGACAATTACAAGGTAGAAATAACTTTATTATTGTTTATTGTTAGTGTTGTCATTTATTAGAATTAAATAATGTTAACACTAATTATTTATGTTTTTTTTTAAAAACAATAAATAATCTTGGAATAGAGTCAACGTAGTAAATCTGCGACAATTGAAAATAGTAATCATGACGAAATTGTAAATAATAGCAATACTAGTAATAATACTAGTAATAATAATAATAGTAGTAGTAATAATAATAATAATAATAATAGTAATAGTGATAGTAATAATAATAATCATAATAATAATAATAATAAAAATAATAATAATAGTGTTAGCTCCATTGTCATATCATATCAAGCACAGATTGAAGATATTATTAGTAAACAAGGATCATCAATGTCTTTAGCGTCAAATTCAATTCTTGTTGGTTCAGCTTTGAATAATAACAGATACAAAAAATCAAGAGAACCAGCTAATAGTAATAATAATAATAGTAGTAGTAGTAATAATAGTAATAATAATAATGCTGGTGGTAGTAGTAGTAATAGTAGTAAAAATAATAATAATAATAATAATAATAATAATAATAATAATGGCAGAGATTCTGTTAATGGATTAAAAAGATCATTAACGATGGATTTGGAGGATGAGGAGGATGAGGATGAATTAAGATATTTAAGGAAAAGAAGAGATAAAAAGAAATCAACTGCAGATTTATTAGAAGTTTATATTAACCATTGCATCAGTCAACAAGAAGAAAGACGTAAAGAACGTGAATTGAAAGAAAAGGAAAGAAAAGAAAGGCACGAAAGACGAGAAAAATTGGATATGATGATGTTTAACATTTTACATAATATTTCAATGCCATTTATACCACAAAATCAAGGTTAATTTTTTCATTTAATTAGATTTTGGAATTTTTTTTTTTTTTAGATTTCATTTATTAAAAAATTTTGAATTATAGATCCAAATTTAAAAAATGATGATATTACCACTCTTCATAATGATAATAATATTGATCCTAATTCTACCTCTAATTCACAAACTCCTCAATAATAATAATAATAATAATAATAATGATATTTTCTTTTCTTTTGTCTCATTTTCTCATTTTCTCTCATTTTCTCTTACTAAATGTATATATACACACATACAATCACTCAAACATACACACGCATATAATATATAAATAAAAAGCTTTTTTTAATGTTAATAATAATTAGTAAAATTTTCAGTTTCATTATTAGTTCTTGTAAACCATAAATGATTTTTGATTTTATCTCTCTTTAAAATACCAGCTTCTGATCTAATATTATTACGAGTAAATTCCACCTTCTCATTATCAGAAAAGATTTCACATGGTGGTAGAAATTCTTTTCTTTCTTCGCAAAGATTATGTAAAATACAACAAGCTGATACAATCAATGCTACAAATTCAATTGACGCTTCAAAAGTAATATTAAGACATTTCCATCTAGATTTTAACAATCCATAACTTTGTTCTATTTTTTTTCTTGTGTGTGAATGACACAAATTATAATACGATTCCTCTCTTGTGAGAATCGTTCCTTGATCATCGTCATTGTATGGTGTCAGCATCCAATTTAAATTAGGATAACCAACATCACCTAAAAGATAAAATTGTGATAAATTATTACCACTACTATTGCTACTAATAATTTTATCGTCATCAATAATATTATTACTACCGCTACTACCAAAATTATTACTACTGGAATTATCATTACCAGCACTATTAATGCTATTGTTATTATCGCTGTTATTATTGTATATATTGTTCATAATACTATATATCGGTGATCTTGTAAACACTATATTATCTTGCGTCGAACCAGGATAACCAACCGACATATCAATAAATTTCTTTTTATCATCCACAACCGCTTGTATTATTATTGAATAATGGTTTTTTTGATGATTATAATAATTTGTTGCAAAAGTCGATGGCGATTTGATTTTAATATGACTACATCCTATAATACCAAATATTCCTGGAAAATCTGCCACTTTACTAAACCCATCACTAATCTCCAAGCATTCACTCTCATTCACTGGAAGTCTATCGGCCAAAAAAAAAAAAAAAAAAAGGAATTGTAATTAAAATAAATTGATTGTATGGGATAAACAAATGAAAGAAGGATGCTTGGGATTCGTTAAATCAATCATTTATTTTTTAAATACCTGATTTTTTCTTTCAAAAATCTTTTATTTATAGCATTCACCACATCTCTTAAAACATATCCGGTTGTAGATTCTCCCATTCCAAACCTATTTCCAAGTCTGTTGAAATTTTCACCTGTACCAAAGAACCATAGTGTTGCAAGAATTTTATGGTTCCATGATATAAATCCTGGTGATGATGATGGTGATGGTGGTGTTGGTGTTGGTGTTGTCGCTAATGATGTCAGTATTGGTTGTTGACGCGTATTTGCACTAGTAGTCACCAATGTTGTTGATGACGACGATGATGATGATTGTTGATTTTGCAATTGATGCACATTGTTAATTGATAAACTATTATTACTATTATCATCTATTATTGTACTATTTCTTTTATTTTTGTTATTACAGTCAGCAGCATTATTATTATCATTGTTATTATTATTTTCACTGTTATTTTGTAATAATGGAATTAATTCTTCGCATAACCATTCGTACATTTCTTTAGACATTCTAAAATATTTTTTGAATTCAGAATCTTGCATTTCCAAACATGTTTTATAATATCTAGAACCTTTTTGAGTTCGATAATATCTTATAGCCCAATTAGACTCATTTTGTGATAATTGTGTAAAACTTGCCAACGCCAATAAAAATTCCTCTTCCTCCTCCTCCTCTTCTTCATCTTCCACTTCGGATTCTGATGATTCTTCATCCAATTCATTTCTTTGTTGTACAAGTAGTAAAAGTGTCAAAAGACTAACAAAATTTTGATTTAATGTGTTATTATTATTATTATTATTATTATTATTATTATTCATTGTTGGATGCGGAAAGTTTAATGATGATGATCGTCATCACATTGATACGAAGGCGGATTTAATAAATCCAGATACGATTGATTATACTTGCAATCATTGATCCAGTAATATAGTAATGAAAAAGATAATGAATTACAAAAAATATTTTTTATTGATTTTAAAAACTTCAAATCTTAAAGGACACACACACACATTAGTATTATAAATTTATTTATTTTATCTAGAATTTGAATTGCTTATATCGTTATTGAGTATCTTATTATTATTATTAAAAAAATATATTAACAAAAAGACTACTCTTTTTTTTTAATTGCTTTTATAATTAATGCTTCGTTGAATTTTATATTGTGGACTCTTACAATAAATCTTTTGTCGAATAATTATAATGAATGATCCCTTGTTTTTTCTTCTGTCACATAACGTTGATGCGTTCACCTTTTTTTTCATCGATATATTTTAAAAAAAAACTATTTTTGTAGCACGGTCATTGGTAGATTAAAATAAAATAAAAATGTTAAAGGAGCTTGTCGGAAAATTCTCGCGTATGACTTCACGGGTGGTAATAACGTCCCAAAAAAAAACATAATATATAACCATTATGTAATTAAAATATTTATTCAGTTAAATAAGAAAATATATTAAATAAAAAAAGTAATAACAAATATAAAAAAAATACATAAATTATAACAACTTTTTTTGATTGCTTCTTTTTATCATCATCACTACTAATAACACCACTATAATATCTAATATCATCATCACCATCACAATCCCCAACATTGCCATCACTGCCATCATTTTTCATTTCATATGCATTGGCATAATTACTGAAGCATTACTGTCAAAATTATATTCAATTAAACTATTTGGCCGAATTTTTTTATTTAATGAATCATTATCATCATCATCATTCATTGATATAGTAGCCAATTTATTATTAGCCTGCTCAATTAACTTGCTAAGTGAGCGACTTGTATAGAATGCATCTACATGGTATTTGTGATTTTTTGCTCCTGAAAGATATTTTTTTGATTTAATTATCTCTTGGCGTTTTGATTCTGCTAATTCAATGATTTTCTTACATTCTTCAGAAGGATCATTACAATATTTGTGGAAACAACCACAAAGTTTACGAACAGCTGGCCTATTGTCTGGATTTGAATCCCAACATTTTTTCATTAATTTTGCATAGAATTCAGGAGTGTCTTTGGTGACTTTAGGTCTCATTCCTTTCAGAATATCTGTTATCAGATGATGATCATGTGCCACATTATAAAAAGGTTTTTTACCTGTGGTGAATTCCCACATAATCATTCCAAAACTATAAATGTCTGATTTTTTTGTATATTGTTTACCTGATAATACTTCAGGTGCCAGGTATGGAATGACTCCAAAGATCTCATTTGGATTTTCATTTTTATTTATTAATTGTTGACATAACCCTAAATCTCCTATTTGACAAAAAGATTGATTGTATGAAAAAATATTACCACTGTGCAAGTCATGATGAACATAATTATTTCCATGAATGACCCCTAGCCTAATTTATTTTAATAATAAAAGGTATAAAGTTAGTTAACTTTATAAAAAGAAAATTTAATTTAATGATAAAATTTAAAACTTGCCCTCCTGAAATATTATAAAGTGAGATGGTTTTATCTTCCCAAGTAATTTCCTTAAAATTTTTTGATAATTTATTATGTAAATCACCATTTTCAGCATATTCAAATACCAAAATATATTCATTTGTGCTTGGATCTTTTGTAATTCCAAAGCATTGATTGACAAAAATAAAACACATTCTATTATTTGCTTCTAACTAAAATTATTAATAATTATAATTATAATCAAAATTAAATAATATTTATAAAAAATTAATACTAAAAAGTTTTACCTCTTTTAAAATATTTGTAATTTTATCACTTGAGTCATATAATCTTTTTAATACCACATTTGTTTCATATTGATCATTAATAGATAGATAATAGTTGATCCAAATTGCTTTATGAACTTCACCAAAACCACCTTTAGCCAAATATTCAATATTTTTGAATTCATTAAAAGGAATCCATTCAATATGATCATCATTAGATCTATTTTTTTTACATTCATAAAGAAACTTGGCTATTTCTTTATTTCCACAATCAGCCTCTAAGTTTCCAATTTTCTTTTCTTTACAACTATTGCACAATACAAACACATTCAATCTAACATCTGTGCTAATTAAATTGTGATATGATTTTATAATTAAATTTATACTTTCTTCTTCCTCATTTTTTTTAAATCTATTTGAAAATTCATTTAATGCATCAATTGATTTATTCAAATACATCATAAGAAGATAATCACCTTTTGTCATTTTTTTCTTACAATCAGCACAATTTCCTATTAATTTTAATGTTCCATGTAATTCACTTAATATATTATTAATTCTAATTAGTCTGACATAATCACAAATTGGTTTACATAATAAGGCATATCTTGGATAAATTGATTCAATCAATAATTTTAATTCATTTGCCGATTCATTTGGAAATTTAATTATCTCCATCCTTTCAAGAAAAATAAATGTATCACAAAATTTTTTCATTCAATTTACATATCACATGTGATTATAAAAATATCAATCCTCCTATATTATTTTATTGTTAATAATACCACTACTACATCAGCATCACCAATTATACTGAAGTTGCAATAATGAAAATGATTAAACTAAAGATTTTAGATTTGTGGATAGGTAATTATAATAATATATTAATGTCTATAATTTATTAATGTTCATTAATCCAACCAATCAAATAATTAGCTATTATTATTGTGACTGTTTAGATTCTAATGAAAATCATCCAGATGAATTGTCAAAACTTAATCAATTATAACAACAACACCTAGTTTTTGGTTGTATCTTTTTGAAAATTGTGGGGAATGGAAATAAATTTTTTATATCACAATGGAATTATGATGGGTGGAACAAATAGACAATCTGAAGCTCAAAAGTGTAAATTTATTAATTCAATACCTGGAAGGTTATTAGATCTTCTTCAGGATTTTAATTTTATTTATTTTCTATTTTAGAATAAATATTTTTATCAAAGATCATATACAGTACCTAGACAAAAGAATCGGATTGTACGTTTTTGTTAATTACGCAGAAACATACATAATAACCACATATTAAATTTATACCATAAGTAACTTAGGTTATGTC